ATGATCCAATAATCATGACAATGGCATTGTTCAGACGGTAGCCAGAACCCTGGACTCAGAAATCAGCATCTGAAGTATACAGTGCACAAAACCATCCTCATTCATTCATGCTCTGCTTCTTTACTTAGGGTTCTAAATTTAACAAAAGTTTAGAATGTAAAACATTTTCTCCTCAAATACATTTTTAGTTTGTTCCAATATACAAAACTTTACTAGTTGTTGAGAAACTATTTTTTTAAAAAATATTTGATATTTTTTCAAATTATATAGTTTTTATTTTAGAAAATTATATGGTGTTCAAAGTCCATGATCAGCTGGGCGGTGGTGGCGCACACCTTTAATCCCAGCACTTGGGAGGCAGAGGCAGACGGATTTCTGAGTTCGAGAGTTCGAGGCTAGCCTGGTCTACAGAGTGAGTTCCATGACAGCAAGGGCTACACACAGAGAAACCCTGTCTTGAAAAACCAAAAAAAAAAAGATAAATAAATAAATAAATAAAATAAAGTCCATGATCTATGCATACATCTTTAGAACAAGCTGTGAGTTTTAGTTATAAATTTGGCATAAATTTAGAATGTGAAACATTTTCTTCTCAAATATATTTTTAATTTGGCAGTGCTGGGATCAAATTTAGGGTCTTACACGTGTTAGGCAAACTCTGAACTGCTGAATTATATCACCAGCCTTATTTTTGGTGGTTTGTTTTTATTTTGAAATAGGTCTTCACTCTGAAGCCAAGTGTGCCATTGAATTTGCTATTCTCCTTCCTTATCCTTCCTAGTACTAGGATTTCAGGTTTGAACTACTAGAACCAGCTACTTGCCAAATACATTTGTAATTTATGTTAAGGTGGGCTTATTTTATAACTTTACTTACAGAAAGTATAGCATATCCCATTCAAGGAAAATTGTAATATTTAAGAATTTCTGCTTAATAAGTAATCTTTCTATTCACTTATTTTTAAGTGTGTGTGTCTCTCTCTGTGTGCCAGGAACACATGGAGTACATAGGGAGGTTGGGTGTTGATTCTCATCTTCCATCTTGTTTGAGACTGAGCCTTTCTTATTGGACATTGCTGTTGCCCATATATTTCTAGGCAGGATTCTCCTCTCTCCTTTCCATCTTTTCCGTAGGAGGACTGTTTGTACTCCTGCATTAAGCTTTTGTCTAGGCTATGGGGATTTGAACTTAGGCTGTTGGGCTTCTGTGTTAAGTAGTTTACCTGATGAGCCTCTTTCTCAGTCTCACTTTTTCCTTTTAAAACAGTTTGTTTTTAGTGCCTTTAAATACAGGCTCACTTTTATTGCCTGTCTAATTTTGAGCTATTTCTTATTAATCAAAGATATTGCATGTAGAATATGTTCAATAACTGTTTATTGTTCAAGTAAGTCTCAGTTCAGTGTGCATGTGCCTATGGATATTAATTATTTCTAACATGCAATAGTATAAATGATTGTTAAAATACATAAATAACAGAAAAAAGTAAAGGTTACTGTATTTCTCATTCATAACTAGTAATTAAACATATACATAATTTTTAATGTTGTTTTTCCTCTCTTATATAACTTCCCCATAAATAAAGATGCTGTATTGTCCAACCTTTATAATTATACATTTGGAAGGATGCTTAGCATTCTAAAAATTCAGTGGATGTAAAACTGTTTGCCTAATAGCGTTTATCCTGTCATTTTATAGGATAATAACATCTAGTTATTTTAAATTAAGCATGCTTAAAGCCCAGTGTTACCTCCTTGCCCCTTATTTAAGAAAGACTAGATATGGAGAAGTATAATCACTGGGATGTAACAGTTTGGGGGTTTGTGTTATTGTGTAGCTCTGGCTGTCCTGGAGTTTGCTCTGTAGACTAAGTTGGTGTTGAACCACAGAGATCTGCCTGGCTCTGGCTCCTGAGTGTTGCTGGGATTTAAAGTGTGTGAGCTTTGATTCTTGGTACATTATTGCCAAAATGCCTTCTAGAAAGATGATACCAGCTTATATTCCTACAGTATCTGAGGATTCATTTTGCTTTTAGTGTCAGTCAGTATTAGAAAATAATTTATGTGAATTTTAGCAAGTTTAATACTTTATTATTTTAGTTTGCAGTTGGATTTGATTACTATTTTTATTTTATATTTACTTTTTTCCTTTTGTATACTTTTTTCCTTGTTTTTCTTTTATAAAGATGGGAGTTGTAGATGTGGCTCAGCTAGTGAGAGCATTTACTGCTCTTGCAGAAGACTTTGATTTTCAGCATTTAACTATATATTTCATACTTCTCTCAGATTCCTTCCCCAATCTATCATTTTTTGTCAGAATTTTTGGAACTCACTTTTTGTGTAAATACAATCTGAGATGGTTTTTATTTCTTTGTGTTCTAAATTTAGTGAGATTTCTTCTTGTTAAAAAAAGTTTGGTTTTTTTTTTTTCCTCATTTGGTTTTATGGAAGTCCCATTTCATTGACACTTCTGTTTTTAATCTATTATCTTGGTGTTGGGTGAAATGAGCTTCCTCTGTGAAATGGCTAGAGCTTTAATGACAAAGACTTTATTTTTTGGATGTTTTCCCGGATAACTTTTAGGAAATAATGATGTAGAGAGATACTGGGTTATATCTTTGGGAGATATGGGGAAACTGTTGCTGAATACTGTTCCTGTGTTCTGTGCTTGAGGTTAAAAGTTCTAGCTAAGCAAAACTGCTAAGATTCTAAGCCTTTGCTAGGAAATTGTCCAGTCTGTTGAACAATCATATATCACAAAGTTTGAAGGATAATATTTTTAATGTTGTGTTTGTTGACTAGTAAGCAGTTTAGCTCTGTTAACAATTATTACTACATTTTTCTAGTTGGATGTATCTTTTGTCTTTTGGATTGTTACATATTTTGTCATTAAGTGCATCATTTTTCCTCTTTAAAATTGTTATTGGTGATATTTTGATGTTCTATACTTTTTAAAATGTGTGTTCCTTAACAATATCTTTTTTCTTTTTCCTATTATTACTTGTGTTTCATGTTTTTCTGCTTGATAGAATTTTTGAATAGAGCCAGGTGACAGATATACAGCATTTTTCTTTATTCTTTTTTTTTTTTTTTGGGTTTTTCGAGACAGGGTTTCTCTGTATAGCCCTGGCTGACCTGGAACTCACTCTGTAGACCAGGCTGGCATTGAACTCAGAAATTCGCTTGCCTCTGCCTCCCAAGTGCTGGGATTAAAGGTGTGCACCATCACTGCCCGGCTCAGCATTTTTATTTTAATAAGATTTTCCTCTATGTCTTAAAGAATGGTTTTGATAGCATCTAGTATGTTCTTTGATCTGGGGAGGTGGCTTACTTGATAAAATGCTTGCATACAAGTGCAAGGACCTGAGTGACTTGAGTGTGGTTCCCAAAATCCAAGTGAAAATGCTGGGCCTGCTGGGAGGTATTTTTTAAGATTTTCAAGTTAATTTTATGTCACTCTTGTGTGTTTAGTGAGATTTCTTCTTCTTAAAAAAGAATTTTTTTTTTCTCATTTGACTTTATGAAAGTCCCATTTCATTGACACTTCTGTTTTTAATCTGTTTATTATCTTGGTGTTGGGTAAAGCATAAAGTAAACACTTTCTTATGTGTTTAATTTTATGTCACTTTTATTTTGAGATAAAATTTTAATATACTGCATAATTTGTTATATATTACTCTAGTAGATAGTATAACATTAAAATATCCATAAGGCAAGTCTTTTTCAACCATGATGTTTGGTTGAAAAACATGAAATGAGTTAGGATCTTAGTGTCAAAGAAAACTGAGTTTATAATTTTTTGCACTTTTAAAAACTGAATGATTCTAGTAAAATTACCTGTTGAAGTTGATTCTTTTTGTTTGTAGTTAGTGACTTTCTATATTAATGTTATCTCCGTGTTTCCTCCTTTATCTGTCCCCCTTTCAACATGGTAATCCCATAGATAGTAGAAATCCAGAATCTTCCTTAGACCATTTAGAAACCGTTTGTCATGGTCATTTCTACTTCTGATCCTCTGCTCCTGTTTTAAATTTGTTACTTCTATTTCTCCTTTCTGATCTGGGCATAATATTTAGTACCCTTATTTTTATATGTACCAGTAAAAATTTCATGGGATATTTTGCTAGGGTTGGTGACCCACACTTCTAATTCTAGTACTTGAATCTCAGAAAATAAAACAGGGTGTATGGAGAAGGTAATCCGGTAGAGAGATGCTTGCCCCAAAGCCTGACAACCTAAGTTCAATCCCCAACTTCCACAGTGGAAGTAGAGAACTGCCTCCTGCAGGTTGTCTTTTAGCCTCCATCCCTGCATTGTGGCATGCACCCTCTTCCAATAAACAAACAAATAAATAAATGTAATTAAATCCTCAAACAACAATACCACCAAAAATTTAAAAAAAAAATCTGAAGACAAAAACCTCTGCAAGGAGGATTTATGAGTTTGGTAGACTTTAGGGAGATTGACACAACACTATGAGAGACAATAAGCACTGTTTGAAACGTGTTTAGTGCATTTGTTCTGTTTTATTTGAAACAAAGTCTTTTAAATAGCTTATATAATAGCTTAAATAGCTCAGGCTGGTCTGGAACATGTGATTCTCCTACTTACCTCCTAGTTCTGAGATTACAAGCATGTGCTACCATCTCCATTATGTAATGTGTATAGCACATAAATCAGTTTCTCTGTGATACGTGTTTCATACTGTAGTTCTTAAAATAAGTGTTTGAGAGATTCCTTTATGTAACTAAGTTTGATAGAATGTTTTAAAATCTCAAGTTTGGGCCAACAAGATGGTTCAGCATATTAAAGTGCATGCCATACAGACCTGGTGATCTCAGATCACACAGTGGCAGGAGAGAACTGACCTCTGCACACATGCTGCACTATATACCTGTCTGCACTTACATACAAAAACATGCATACGCACAATATAATTATAAGTACATTTTAGAATAAAGTTTGTCTTTATGTGTTAAAAATTAATTTTTGTTTATTTTGCAGAGAATTAATTAGAGCCAACATGGCCACAGGAGGAGGTCCTTTTGAAGAAGTCATGCATGATCAGGACTTGCCGAACTGGAGCAATGACAGTGTGGATGACCGACTCAACAATATGGTGTGATATTTTACTGTGGATGGTGTATTACTGTTCAGTGAGCCTTTCCCATCAATTGTAGTCACTGAAACTCTGTAAAAACCTGCAGGCAAATAGACTAAGGGACTCTTGGTTGAAGACACTTTAGCTGAAGTTAATAGAAAGCGTGAATTAGCTTAAACTAAAAAAATGTTTTATTAAAAGTACTTTTAATAGGTGAAAGTACTTTATGGAAGCCATGTTAAAGGAGTAGAGCTCAGTTTTAGTGAAAAGAGTAACTGTAAAACTGTTCACAGTTGCTTTTCACCCCTGTGCCTGTGCTTCTAAGAACTTTTCCCTGACCTAGCTTTCCCTTCCAGATCTGCCTTTTCTCTCTCTCTGGTTTGTGCCATAGACTGAAATTGCCTTTTTGAAGATTTGCAGCCATGAAGGAAATTATATACTAATTTAAATTTATGATTATCTAGCTAAATTTGGATTAGATTTTTTTCCCCACTTGTCAGTGTCCTGAAACGGATGAATTAAATAGTATAAAAGGTTCTCAGGACATGAGACAGTTCCTAGGAAGGCGGAATTTCTTAGAAGTGAGGACCGTACTAAGCAGTTTTATTACAGTAATAGCTAAATGACTTTCAGTGTGGATAATGTAGGAATGCATTGTTGTTTCTGTTGAGTGAATTCAGTTATGTAGGTATGAGTAAATGTTGTAGGTATTTTCTAGGTAAAATATCATTTCATTCTGTATTGCATAATATGTAGTTGATTATTGCCTATAAATTCCTAATGGGAACAATAATAGTGATACTGGTGCTTGCCAAGTGCTAGACATTGTTCTAAATACTCATGCATATTATTTTTAATCTTATTTTTAAGGTACTCTATTTTAAAGATTAAGAAATCGAAACCGTGTGAAATTAAGAGATTTGCCTAGTGTTTCTTTAGTAGTAATTGCTTTGGAACCTAGGTCAATTGTATTTCTATCTTCTTTTGTTATACATGGAGCTTTTCATCTAAAGGAGCTTGTTAAAGATGTATTTACTTCACTTCTTAATTTAGAACAGTTTTTTTTTTTTTTTTTACCTTTTTTAAGACAGGGTTTCAGTACATACCCTAAGCTAGCTGCCCTTGAAGTCTTTTAAACTCTCCAGCTTCTTGTCTCAGTCCCCTCAGTGTTGAGATTATAGATATGTATCATAACAGATAGATGGGAAGAATAGTTTCTAGAAATGCTTTTGAGCTGGGCCTAGTAGTGCATCCCTGTAGTCTTGTACACATTGATAGACTGAAGTAGGAGAATTATGAATTCAAGGATAACCTGGATTGTGTAGTGAGTTCAAGGGACTCTGAACTAACAGGACCTTATTTCAAAAAAGAAACTATTGAAAATATTAAAATTGAGGACTGGACAGGTGGCTCAGCGGTTAAGAGCACTGACTGCTCTTCCAGAGGTTCTGAGTTCAATTCCCAGCAACCACATGGTGGCTCACAACCATCTGTAATGGAATCCGATGCCCTCTTCTGGTGTGTCTGAAGACAGCAACAGTGTACTCACATAAATAAAACAAATACATCTTAAAAAAAAAAAACAAGAAGAAAAGAAAATATTAAAATGATTTTCATGTTGGGATTTGTGATTTGGAGCTTAATATTTATTATTAGTAATAGGAAGGTAATAGACTTTTTAAAGACCAAGCTGAAATATTAGGATAGATGTAATAATGAAAAAAACGGTTGACAGAAATAAATCTCTAAGGTAGAGTATTTGCATGTGAAAATGTCCTGGAATTTTAACATCTACACCAAAGTTTGTTTTTTTTTTTCTTGAACATACCAAATTATTTTTCTGGTTTGATATAGATCAGATTAACTTTTGCTTTTACTTTTTTAAAGGAGTGGGGTGGCCAACAGAAGAAGGCCAATAGATCATCAGAAAAGAATAAGAGAAAGTTTGGTGTAGCAAGTGATAAGAGGGTAACTAACGATATTTCTCCGGAGTCATCACCAGGAGTTGGAAGGCGAAGAACAAAGATTCCACATACGTTTCCACACAGTAGATATATGACTCAGATGTCTGTTCCAGAGCAGGCAGAACTAGAGAAACTTAAACAGCGGATAAACTTCAGTGATTTAGATCAGGTTTGTGAATTGCTTTCAAAATAAGATGTAACCGTGGGAAGTACTTGAAATGGATTAAGTAGTATATCTTAAGAATAAAAGATTGGGAAGAATAAACGTTTATCTGTGGGAAGAATTTTAAATTCTGATGATTGTATTATCTTTGGAGAGAAGCAGAGTTGTATTTTTATATTTGCTGAAGCTACTTTTCTCTCTGGGCTACTTTCTAATAGCTAACTTAAATTATAAAAGGAGATTTTGCTAACCAAATAAAATTGTTATGAAGTTTAGTACATTTATTGGATAAGTGTGAATGTGCTTGGTTATCTAAAGTTTAGAATATAACTGACTTATAATAAAGTTCACCAAAATAAAGTTTAGATCTAAAGACAAATAGAAATGATAATAATAATCTCTTCACTGCTCTTTTTACCTATATTTTATTTTCATATCTCTGTCTTGCAGAGGTAGAGATTTCCAAACATGTAGAATAATAGGTTCAAGTCTAATATGACAGTGATAGTGTAAATGATTCTGTAAATGTACTATATACACATAAGCCAGCCATTAAACTGATTTGTGTGTGTGTATGTGGTGTTGGAGTTTAAACCCATGGCCTTAAAGATACTTTGTAAACAGTCTATCTCAGCTGTAGTGCCAGTTCTAAACTGCTTTTTTAAATAGCGTTTCATGTTGATAAATCATTGTGCTTATATTCTATTAGTTAATACCGATTCATTGGATCCAAAACCTATATGAATTTTGTTAAATGAAAAGCAGTATGGATTATAATGTATTCCACAGTACTTGTGTTAGACTTTGTATTTATTAACTGTATTATCTCAAAAAAATGAGAATGAGAGTAATAAAATTTTGATAATGTAGCATTTTGTAGATCTGAAGCTTAAAGCTCTTTTACAAAACTATATCCTGATCATCTAATGTTGAAACTAAGAGCATTAGAATCTTAAAAATTTGTTGAAAGATTAATGTTTATGTGATTTGGTTTCCTTTTTGTGTATAGAGAAGTATTGGAAGTGATTCTCAAGGTAGAGCAACAGCGGCTAACAACAAACGTCAGCTTAGTGAAAACCGAAAGCCCTTCAACTTTTTGCCTATGCAGATTAATACTAACAAGAGCAAGGATGCTACTGCAAGTCTTGCAAAAAGAGAGACGACTACGTCAGCACAGTGCAAAGAGCTGTTTGCTTCTGCTCTAAGTAATGACCTTTTGCAAAACTGTCAAGTCTCTGAAGAAGATGGGAGAGGAGAGCCTGCAATGGAGAGCAGCCAGGTAATAAAATGGGTTTGTTTGGGTGGCTGTTTTACAGATTTCAAAGTATAAACATTAAGATCTTAAAAAGTATTAGCCTATGGATATAGGAATTTCAGTTAAGTAGAATTAGTTTTTTTCTAACCCTCTTCAATAATCTACCATATTTATTTTAAGAACAATAATAATTTATTTCTAAATGGTTGGGAAATTACATATTTGTGTTCATTAAATCTCTAATTTGTGAAATACTGAACTGCTAATTTTTAATAAAGGGGGATTAAAATCAGTATGGTGAGGCTTTTTAAAAAAGAATTTTGTTCAGTGTAGCTATTGGGGCTGGAGAGATGGCTCAGTGGTTAAGGGCTCACATGGCTCTTGTGGAAGACCCAAGTTTGGTTGCGTACATACTAGACAGTTCACATCTCCTGAACCTCTGGTTCTAGGAAGATCCACTATGTCCGCTCTTCACAGGCACCTGTGCTCACATGTACTGCCTACATACATGTATACAACTAAAAGTAAGGCAAATCATGAAAAACAGAATAAGACAATGTTGATGTTTCTGGAAAATATTTTCAAAAGTATACTACTTTTAATTTTATTTTTATAATACTACCAATTATTTGTAAAGAGATGTAACTTACAAGGAATATTTAGGGCCAGTGAGATGGCTCAGAGGGTAAAGGTGCTTGCTGTGCAGGCCTGGCAACGTGAATGTGATACCTGGAACCCATTTAAAGGCGGAAGGAGAGAACCAGTGCCATATTGCCACATATGCCTCTGGCACATGTGTACATACATATACATATATAGTGCACATGTGAGTACCACCTCACTCCACACCCTCGCCACCTAGTGGAATATATAAATAATTTCTTAGCAATTTGTTTTATAAATACAATAATTTTGGGGCCTGTCGAGGTTACTTAGTGGGAGAGCCTACACTGCTTGGGTCCTGGCAACTCTGTACGGACAATGAGGGAACAAGGAAAGAACAGACACATGGCTGAGCTGCTGTGAATTGTATGTCTGGACTTCGCTCACTGGGCTTCCTCCGTTGTTTACAAGCTGCACCTGAGCATTTAGTACCTGGAAACCACATAAAATAGGACAACACCAACTCCATACAATTTTTCAGATAATATAAACTAAAATAATTTTATAAATACTTTTAAATTGATGGTGATTGAAGTTTATTGACCATTGTGTTTTAATTAAAAAAACTAATTTTAATTAAAAATTTCTTGTCTGTATAGATTTATATGGTAAACCTAGATTTATCTTTGTTTGATAACACTATTACTATGGAGTAAATTATGCTTGGTGTTATATGTTGTATACTGCCATTCTTATATTTCTTTTTAATATTTTTCTTACAGATTGTAAGCAGGCTTGTTCAAATTCGTGACTATATTACTAAAGCTAGTTCTATGCGAGAAGATCTTGTAGAGAAAAATGAAAGATCTGCCAATGTTGAGCGTCTCACTCATCTAATAGAGCACCTTAAAGAACAAGAAAAGTCATATATGAAATTTCTCCAGAAAATTCTTGTAAGTTTTAGACTTTTTAAGTGATGTATGTTGAGTTATTTCTATGATGCACCATGTACAAATAATGACGACATTCTGATGTCACTCCAGAGGAGTTAACATATCTTCAAAAATCGTGCCATCCATTATAACATTTTTATTGCCCTTTTTAATAGTTGTATGATTTATACCACTAAAATATTTCAGGCTAGAGAAAATGAGGAGGAGGATGTTCGGACTATAGACTCAGCTGTGGGATCTGGTTCTGTAGCTGAGAGCACATCGCTAAACGTAGATGTGCAGTCTGAGGCTTCAGATACCACGGTAAGCGGCTTTTTGGTAATTAAAGTGCTGGAAATGAAGATTTAAGGTTTTCCTCCAGTTTTCAAGATGATAATTTTTGGCATTCTTTAGTAAAAAAGTGTATTCTAGGAAAGAAACCCTCAAACTGTTAATGGTATATATAGTTTCTAAACATGGACGTTTGAAAGCTTTATTACTAACATTGTTGGAAATCTAGTCACTTTTAGATTTCGTTGCACAGAAATGTCAGTGAAATTGGTTTTGCTCAGCACAGCTTTCCTAATTTTAAGAAGCATTGGCAAAGCTAGATTCATCGGAGGTATAAGAACTGTGAAGGGGGTGTGATACTCATGAATATTAAACATGTAAGAAGTTTCCACATTCATTTTCTGGTGAAGACTCATTTTGAATGTGCTAAGATCTTTTAGAATTTCTCATGCTGTAGTACTTTAGCAGAGCTAGAAGTCTAAAATGTTGAAATAATGCCTAATAAATGAGACAGGATAATATTGACAATATTATTTACTGTCAGTGAAGAAAAAGTAATGTTTCTGACTATAAAGTAAAACTTCCCCTTGGGGATGAGTAATTTATAGAACTTTGGAGAAAGAAAGAAAAGGTTATAAGATTGTTCAAAGAATGTAGTACATTTCAGAACTGCTTGGCTTTTAAACACTTTTATTTGAACAGATGTGCACTTGTCTGAAGTGCATGTGATAACCAGTCCACCATGAAAACAACATAATCATACACCTGTGTAACTGTTAAACACGTAGTACTAGTAAGCCTTTTGTTTTGAAATGATTAGCACCCATGTATTGATTTTTATAATATATTTCAAAATACCATTCAGCACTAGGAATTTGAGGGTTTGTTTCCTTTTACTACTGCTCTATAAATTTTACCTGTTTCTTTTCTTCTCCCTGTCCTTCCTATTTAACCTTTTTTTTTTTTAAATAAGGAATTTGATGTTTTTTCTTTCTATTTAGGAACTACTTAAGGGGTTTGATCCAAACAGTTGTTGAAAAACAGATTCTGCTGTGGGAAATTGTTTTCTGTTCATAGTGGGCCTGGGAATAATTTCTCTCTTCTATACCAGCAGAAGCAGAAGGGTTGGGGTTGGCTGGTTAAAAGATTTTATAGGAGAGGTATGGGGAATGATATGGTTGATTATAATTTACATTCTAAAATCCAAAGCATTTACTGTGATGAGAATTTTCTTCATAATGACAAAAAATCATAGCTTTTTGTAAATTGTTATGTACCTAATAAATGTTAAAATATGCTTTAGCAGTTTTCTGTACTTGAAACTTATCACAGATATAGTGCTTGCTTATATTTAATAAGTAACTTCATTCTATAGAAACTTAAAAATCTAATTAAATTTACTTCCTCTTGGGGATGGCTTTGGGTTAATTTTTTTAAAAAGGTGAAATAAAATATTTTTGTATTTATTTGCAAGGCTGGCTTATATGTTAAACAGGAGTTTGTGTTAAGAAATTAACATGTTACACTATTTAATAAAGGTGGCATCTTTTAGTCTGAGAATTTGTCCCTGCATTGAGGACAAACTAGGGAATTCAGCTTCACAAGAACAGGTTTCAGACATTGACATAAGTCCTAAAGGGAAAGGTGACAAAGCTTTCAGAATGACAGGGAACTGAGACCTAATAGGAAATGTAGCCGAAAACGCGGATTTCCCTAAAAGGTATACTTCACAATGTTAACTTGAGAAGTCTTTAAATGAGCAGTTCTTTAGTTCTATTTCTTCCTTACTTGCTTTTCTGTTAACTGCTTAACTCTTAACTCTGTATTATCAACACCATTAATATACTGTAATCTGTTTTAGTAAAATGATGTTGCTAAGAGTTTTTATTTTTTATTTATAGTTTTTGCTTTAGAATATACCTCTGCATGGATAAAATATGGTAGCTGATTTTGATTTATTATAAATTATAAAGGATTAGAAAAATAACTTGTTCTTTTCCTATTGAAGGTTTAGCTTATATAAAACATTCTTAGACCTTGACAGTTGCTTTTGTTTATAATACTACTGTTTATGAATTTGAAAGATACTTTAAAATTTTTGTATTATTACTATAGAAGTTCATTAGAGAAAAAGAAAATAGTATAAGATGTTAAATTTTCTGTCCTTAATGGAAGAAATTATTTTTTCCTTGTTTTGGCTTATATTTGTGTTACTGTTTAAAACCCTTTCTTCTTCCTCTCTCTTTCTCCATCTTGGGGGAAAAAAAAAGATTTAGCTAGTTAATTTGCTAATTGGTGTTTTTATGTTTTGCTAGATTTCCTTCTTCAGTGTTTGATTTTAATTTTTTTTTTCGTTTCCTGTGATTTGTATAAAAGTCAAGAAAACTGTTTCTGTAGTTCTTCTAGTACATTTGAAAGAAATAGTATTTGTAAAAGCGTGTGTATCCTTTTATCAAGAACAAAATATCATTTTAATAGTTTGGGGTATACCTAGTAATTTTGTAAGTTTTAGTACTAGCTTGTTACTAGTGATTAATTTTTTACTTTGTTTTCCTTCCTTCCTTTCATTCATTCTTTCTTCTATCTTTTTTTTTAATGACTTTTTTTGGTGTGTCCGGGGTCATCTTTAGTTATACAAAGCATTAAGCTTAAGGTAGTAACCCTTTAAGCAGAAAAGTATCTGGTTATCTTTAGACTTAATAGTATTGAAGGGACCCAGGTATGCTTTAAAATTTGTCTTCCTTCCTTATACCGTTGGCAGGCATTGCAGTGTATTTTCCAGGGCTTTTTTTTTTTTCTTCTTGATATTAAAGGAAAAAAAAAGGCCTTTAGAGTTGCCCCAGCCCCCTTTTTTTAAAAAAAAAAAATTGGATATTTTATTTATTTACATTTCAAATGGTATCCTCTTTCCTGGTTTCCACTCTACAACCCCCCTATCCCATCCCTCCTTACCCTGCTTCTATGAAGGTGCTCCCCTACCCACCCACTCCTGCCTCACCACCCTAGCATTCCTCTAAACTGGGGCATCAAGCCTTCACAGGACCTAGAGCCTCCCCTCCCATTGATGCCAGATAAGGCCCCTTTCAGTCCTTCCCCTAACTCCTCCATTGGGGTCCCTGTACTCAGTCTGATGGTTGGCTTCGAGTATCCTCTGTATTGGTCAGTATCTGGCAGAACCTCTCAGAAAACAGCTATATCAGTCTCCTTTCAGCAAGCACTTCTTGGTATCAGCAATAGTGTCTGGGTTTGATATCTGCAATGGAATGGATCCCCAGGTGGGGCAGTCTCTGGATGGCCTTTCCTTCAGTCTCTGCTCCACTCTTTCTTTGTTCCTGTATTTCCTTTAGACAGGAGCAATTCTGGGTTAAAATTTTGGAGATGGTTGAGTGATTCCAACTCTTAACTGGGGAGTCATGCCTAACCTCTGGCTATGGTCTTGACAGAGTCTCCATCCCCTGTGTTGGGTATTTCAGCTAATGTCATCCCTGTGGGGTCCTGGGAGCCTCTTGCTTTCCTTTACGAGATCTTCTTTCACCCTGTGGTAGTTTATGAACATTAAGAAAACAAACAAAAAACCAAACCAAAACAAAAAAAAACAAAAAAACCTCCAAATTCTTCTGTTTCTGTCTCTTGGAAAGTATTCTTACAAATTAGAATGATTGTAACTTTAAATTGCTCAGGGATTTGTCATAATTTCACTATTCTTAATCTTGGTTTTTTAAAAACTATTTTTATTGTGTGTGTGTATGCCTGTGATGGGCCACAACATGCATGGGAAGGATAACCTGTATCTCTCTCCCAAGACAGTGTGGGTCCTGAGGATGGACTCAGGCCATCAGACTCAATGCTTAGCTTTATAACAAGCTCTCTAGTCTGCTGAGCCGTCCTGCCAACCCTGTCTTGATTCTTAAGATCATCCTAATGGAGCATACTTGCACATAATTCACAAATGGTTTTAATTGGACAAAACCTAGTCCCTTCCATCTCTTCCCTCTAAGAAACCTTTCAAATATAGCGTTTTGAAGAATAGAGGAAAAGGATTGAGCTCCTATGTTAGAGTCGGAGCTAAAAACAGCCTTATGAGTTGCAGGTTGATATGAAATGACAACTATCTACAAAGACTAATATTTTTGGTGTATTTTATAGATGTAATATTTTGTATTATGTAACAGCTTCGTGTACACCTCTCCTTTGTGAGAGGAGTACTGTCCCACCATTTTTTTTTTTTTTGAGACAGCACTTATAACTGGACCAAATAGACTAGTGAGATTGGCCATGAGTTCCAGATATCTATTTCTCTCCACCTTTGAAGGAGTTAGTTTACCTTTGAAGTGTGAACCACTAGGTCTGGCCTTTTTTTTTTTTTTTTTTTTTTTTTAAATATAGGTTCTGAGGATCCAACTTAAGTTCTTGTGCTTATAAGTCAAGCAATTCAATTCCCTCCAATCCCCCATTTTTAAAGACAGAGTCTTACTATGTAGGTAGGGTCCATGGCTAGGGTGGAACTCCTATGTAGACCACAGTGGCCTTGCATTCAGAGTTGTACCTGCCTCTGCCTCTCAAGTACTGAGATTTAAGGCATGTGTCACTGCACCCAGCTTCTCAGCTTTCTTCATAGTTGATTATAAATACCAGTCTAAAATGTAAATTATATGTATATAAAAGTTGTTAGATGTCATCAACCTGCACTAAACTTCTAATTTCATCTTAACTTTCTCTGAGTATTTAACTGTACTTTCTTCCCTTTTTCCCCCCATTTCTAAGTCACAATGTAAGATGTTGTCATGGCTACCCATTCTTATTTACAATATTGATGGTTCTACTTGGGAGGAGGTAGATGGAAGAGGCTTTGTATAGCGCTGGTGAAGGATGTCATCCAAACTTCTTGAGCTGTCTGTGTTCCCTGTGGTTTCTCTAGAAATCACATGTGCCCAGGGAAAGTAGATCACTGTATTTGTTTTTACTTTCAAAAGAAATCATTTAACTTTTTACTTGCCTTAGAAATTTTAGGGGAGAAATCACTTAAAATTTTATATTCCCAACAAAAATTTGCTAGTGTGGCAAATTTCAAACAAAGTAAATACATTAAAGGGAATATTTAATGTTAATGGATTAAAATAATAGAACTTTTAAATATTTTGATGGCAAATCATTTATGAAGAATACCTTTACAGTATATATTTTATATCTAATTGGTCTTAAAATTTATTGTTTGGGGCTATATTTACATTTCTGTTTTTGATTAGTTTCGTTCAGCTGTGTTTTAAGTTTTAATTTTGTGTATATATGTGTTTGTTTTGTTTATTTTAACACATGAGGCCTTAAGCAAAGACTTTGCCACTAAGCCGTATCTCCAGCCCACTTGGTCATTACTTCTCTAAACATTTTTTCTTTTAAAATATTGGTTTATTTTATAAGTATTTTACCTGCATGCATGTGTGTGTGTCCTACGCATGTCTGATGCCCATATAGATCAGAAGAGGGTGTTAGAGCCTAGGACTTAGAGTTACAGATGGTTGTGAACCTCTGTGTGAGTTCTGGGAACTGAACCTGGCCTGGGTCCTCTGCAAGAGTAACAAGTGTGTAACTGCTGAGTCATCTCCAATCCCATTGGTCGTTTCTTCTAAGTAGTCCCTATTTACATCTTTTATGTTGCATATAGAGAGGATGATAAATTCTTAGTGTATTGGGGAAGTCTTCCAGACTCAGTTTATCCCCCAAACTCAGCTGAATGGACATAATTTAAGAAGTAAAAAACTAAGAAAAATACTTGGTATAAAGTAGAGTTTTCTGCTTTGTTATATACTTAATGTACTTCAGTTAGGCTTTTTACATAAGATAATCAGCAAATATATTTAAAAATTGTTGACCTTGGCTAGAAGTTGGTATGTTTATTCTCTGTGTGTGTCTCCTCCTCCCTCCCCCCCAGTCCCACTTAGCTTGCTTTTGTCGTACATGTTAAAAATCATCTTCTGGAATGGGTAGATAGGTTTGTTACCTGATAGATTGTAGAGAAGATCTTTGAAATGAGAGCATTAACTGGGTATAATTTGTATTTTGTTCCCTATTATTTTATCTGCAGTATGTACAGCAGTTGCCTTCCTAGATTTTGAACCTTCTGTTTTATAAGAGTTTTTTTTTTCCCTTTCCTTTTAACTCCTCATAGTTTTTCACTGTAAAATTACCTAATTTTTAATGTGGGACATACCAATTTCTAACTCTATTAAAACTGTATCTAGAGTTGTGTGTATAATTGAAACTAGTATCTGCTGTGCTTTGCCATTGGCAAATGAAACAGGACCATGGATTTCAATTGTCAGGTATCAGTATTGTTGGTCTTATTTTTCAGGCCAGAGATCCTCAGCAGGAGCCTATGGAAGAGACAGAAAATTTGAAGAAACAACATGATTTATTAAAAAGAATGTTACAACAGCAGGAACAGCTGCGGGCTCTACAGGGCCGACAGGCTGCTCTTCTAGCTTTGCAACATAAAGCAGAGCAAGCTATAGCTGTGATGGATGATTCTGGTATGTGATAGTTGTAGAATAATAGTTTTAGAAGAAAGGCTTATTAACTGTTTTGCAAAGTGAATGCTGTTACTATATAATCAGATCTCGGTTGTTGACTAGTTTAGCAGCCCGCAAGCAGGTTTACTCTGTCCTATGCTTTTCTCTGGTTATACAGAAGAGGTTGCTCCTGGCTATCATACTGTACGGTGCTGACAGACAGTTCCTTTTCATCAGAGAGTACCTTTGAGAGGTAAAAGAGACAGGCCTGTATGTAGTACTGTTTTGTAACCTCAAAGTGATAGGCTCTTGTTTCCTTTGTTTCCATTTTGCAGGAATTACTGCTTGTTTTTTTTTTTTTCCTTCTGTTTTTTGTTTTAAATCTCATTGAGCTAAGATTGTTCTTTATTTGCCTTGCAAAGAAGAGTTAAAAAATCATTAGTGAGCCAGATCTGGTATCGTAACACCTGTAATCCCAGCACTCAGAAGGCTGAGGCAAGGAGGCTCAAGAATTAGGTATGGAGAGATGAGTCAGTTGGTAAAGTGCTTGTCCCACAAGCATAAGGACCTGTTTGGATTCTCAACAACCACATTAAAGCCAAGGGCAATGGTACACATCTGTAACCCCAGCTCCGGATGGAGTGTGACTAAGAAAGATACCCCAAATCAACCTCTGATGTACACATATGTGTACACAGACAACTGAATTGATTAGTATTGTCTTAATTTTATAGTCTTATTGTCATCAAACGTGTTTTATTAGGTTAAAAGTAAGTTTGTTGCTTATTAAAACTCAATAAAAAGCTAAGGATTTTTTTTAGTTTTATTTTTAATTGACAGATAACAATTGTATATATTTACAAAGCGATATAATAGATTTCCATTAGCTTAATTATGTTTTCTCATCAATTCTAAGTTTATTTATCTTTGAGCATTATAATTAGTCGGTTTTTTATTATTTGTTTTTGCTATTTGGGGGACATAGTACATTTCATGAGGATTACTTACAGGATTGTGGGTTACTTACAGATTTATGGGCAAGTAAGCAGTGGCTGCACTACTGAAGTAGTGTCTGTGTCATGCCCGTCAGTCAGCATGTAACTGCCTTTTCATCCTTGTGGAGCAGCAGGGCTCACAAAGTTCCTAAGCTCTTCTCCAGAAGCTTGAGTAGTTGAGTTTACATTATCTTGTTGGATCATCAGAATTGAAGGGTACAGTTTCTGACAGTTTCTGACTTGGCTAGAGTTTATATAGAATATTAGTATAGAAAGCTATTGAATTTTAGGTTGAAATATACAAATAATTTTTTTTTTTACAAAAATACACTATTAGGAATTTCATTAAAAGTCTGTAACTAGGAGATTTAAATTTGATCTGTATATACTTTTTCAACAAGAACTTTAGCTGAATAATTTTAAAACAATTTCCCCCTGTGTTTATGAAATTTTATTGAAGGAAACTGATGAAAGCAAGGGTTAGTGTTTCTAATTTGTTCAGAGACACAACACATTATCTTTGGAGAAACAGTGCTTTATTTACTGCCTAGCAAGTTGTTTGTTAATTACCCGAATTGTAATTTTGGTGTTTTCTACAGAGACTTTAGACTAGAAAAAAGTTTCTGTCAGTCTCAAATACTAGTTTTTAGTTTTTTGGTGGTTCTGTTTTGGTTGGTTGGTTTGTTTTAGTAGAAAATGATGGTATTTTCTAAAAACAAAACAAACAAACAAAAAACATTTTGTAACTTTTGGCTTTTAAAGTTGAAAGTCTAAAAGAAAGGATAAAGATGGGTACTGCATAGTAGAGCCGTAGGTATTGTCAGAATTGTCTTCATAAATGTGCTTTAGAAGGGTGAGAGGATTTTTGTTGTTTTGTTTCTAATAAAGATAAAACCTGTGGTTGTTAGTGTAATTGCTGTATTACAAGCAACTACGTCAATAAATCTGTCTATTCAACTGTGGGAGTACAAAGCTTGGCTAGCTGGAGTTGGTCTACTTTATGGAATGGTTTTATGGAACACTGCCATTCTTGTTCGCATATTGCTGAGTTTTTGGCTTTTAATGGGAGAAAAAGGTGGTTGAGGCAAGAACTGTATTCCAGAGAGCTGTGCTAATTTTCAGTCTATACTTTGAAGAAAAGCGTGCCTATTTTCTGAATTGCAGTATTGGTTTTCTTGGAGGAGGCAGAGTCAGCCCTGTTCCCTCTCTCTGATAGAACCTTCCTATGTCTGAGCCAACAAATCACATTTACTAATTGGGGTTACAATCCTAGCCTTCCTTGTTTGTTGAGATTGAAAAACATGAGTCATTAGTGTTTAGTAGTTGTCTCATTATTTTTCCATTGTCAGATATAACTTCTAATAGAATGATTGGCTGATAGATAAGATTATTAAAAGTTTCAAATTATGTTAGGTTGAAGTTCTTCCTTCAAAATTTATGATTAACCTGATGCTTCTTTATACTGAATATAGTATTTAATTCTGATTTCAGTTGTTACAGAAACTACAGGAAGCTTATCTGGAGTCAGCATCACATCCGAACTAAATGAAGAACTGAATGATTTAATTCAGCGTTTCCATAATCAGCTTCGTGATTCTCAGGTGATTGATCTATATAGTTAAGTTTAGAAATCACATTAATTAACCCAGTGTGTCTCAAGCCTTAGTAAACATAAATATCACTTGGCCTGACTGTTTAAAAAATGAAGCTGAGTGGTAGTGGGCACAGTTTTAATACCAGCACTAGGAAGGCAGAGGCAGGTGGATTTCTGAGTTCAAGGCCAGCCTGGTCTATAGAGTGAGTTTCAGAACAGCCAGAGCTGCACAGAGAAACTCTGTCTTGAAAAACGAAAAAGGGGGGAAAATGGATGCAGAACCCTTCAACCTCCAAAATTATGATTCATAAGATTTGAGTGGGTCCCATATGATCTCATTGCTATTCTTGACACTATCCTTTGAGAAATTCTAGGTTAGAGGAAAATCTACTTTGTTAGGATTTATTTTATTTTCTTTGTATATGTGTACCTGAATGTGTGTGTGTGTGTGTATCCTATGCATAACAGAGATAGAAGAGGGCATCAGATCCCCTGGGACAAGTGTCACAGTGATCATGAATGCTTGATATGCACGCTGGGACCTAGGTCCTCAGTAAAGTAGCAACTGCTCTTAACCAGGGAGCCAAGGGTCCACACCCAGAAAAGCCTGTTTAACTGTGCTGAGTAGTAGGGCTCTCTGTAGGCTGTTAGATAAGCATTCTTTTAACCTCTTTGATACACTAGGTGGTTATAACCTTTGAGACTTGAAGTTAAGCTATGTATGGTGGTTCATACTTTAATCCCGGAACTGGGAGGTAGAAGCAGGTGGATGGACCTGTGGATTCAAGGCCAGCCTGGTCTACACAGTTCGACCCAGGACAGTCAGGGTTGCATAATGAGACCCTGGCTTAAAAACAAAACAAACAAAAAAACCCAAAAACCAGAGACTTAAAATTAGTTTTAAGTTTATGCTCTTGCATTATTTTATCTTACTGACAATTTTAAGAAAGGCTTTTGAGGGAGGTGGAGTATTTTTGTTTGGTTTGGTATTAACCCAAAGTCTTACTTTGGGAGACAGGCTGACCTCACATTTCCATCTTTCTGTGCTAGCCTCTTAAAGCACTAGGATTACATGCTTGTACTGCCATGTCTAGCAGGCAATTTTAGAATTAATAATGTCTTAGTTTTATGAACTTCATAAAACAATGATATGCGTGAGAATTTTGAGTGTGTGAGATCTGGAGAATTATGGGTGAACTTTGCCTCTCACTGGGATGCTTGTCTTGTCCACAAAGAAAATTAGGTGAGCCATTCATTTTGGACAGTTATCTAGCAACAGTTAGTAAAGTGTTCTAATGAACCCTGTCAAACCTTAGGTAAAGAAGCTCTCAGATACTTGATGGACACAGGTTTAAGATTGATAGTGGAAGGACTGTGTTAATAACAAAATAGGAAATAAAACAAAAGTAAACATATAGTAAAATGCAATTTAATTTTCCTTGTTTTAAATGATCTTTTCCTTTTTATCCTTTATTTTTTAAACTTAAGCCTCCAGCTGTTCCAGACAACAGAAGACAGGCAGAAAGTCTTTCATTAACTAGAGAGATTTCTCAGAGCAGAAATCCCTCAGTTTCTGAACATTTACCTGATGAGAAAGTACAGCTTTTTAGCAAAATGAGAGTACTACAGGAAAAGAAACAGAAAATGGACAAATTACTTGGAGAACTTCATAACCTTCGAGATCAGCATCTGAACAACTCATCATGTGAGTAAATCCGATTCAGCAGTATTATGTAAAGGGCATATAAGTACACATGCTGGCACATAGGAGTTACTTAGTACGTATTTGATGGGATACTAACTAGTTTCACAAAAAACAAAATATTTGAAAAAGAAACTTGAATCCTTTTAATAAGCCAGTATGTGATAAGAGCCAAATAGATGTTAAATCTATTCATAAAAGAAAAAAAAATAAAGTTGGGATAATTTAGAGCTAGTCTCTAGTCACACTCTCAGTCCTAGTTCCCACCCCACAGTAATAGGAGCTCTTAAGTGCTAGACCCCCGCTCTTAAGTGTGTAACCCCCGCTGGCCATTATTACTGTAACATTCCCAGTTTTGTCTGAATAAAATACTCAATTGGATAAAAACAGCATTTTTAGAGTCCCCATTCTTGAACTAGAAAGATGGCTCAGCATTCAAAAGCACTCACTGCTCTTGCAGAGCATCCAGGTTTGGTTTCCAGAACCCACATTAGGCAGCTCCCAACTGCCTGTCATTCCAGTTCCAGGGGGTCTGATGACCTCTGGTTTTTATGGGCACCTGAATACAGGTGATGAACATAGATTCACACAGGTTCATATACATAAAATATAAATAAATCATTCAAAATAACAGAAGAATTGGATGTTCTCTTGTGTTTTGAGACAGGATTTTACAGTGGTGATCAGGCCCACTTCAAATATGCAGTCTTCTCGCTTCAGTCTTTCAGGTCTGGGATTACATAGTTGCTTTGCCACACCCATCTTGGAATAGTAGTTCTGTATACCTCACATACCTCCTGTTTCTCTGCCACTTTCAAAGGAACCTGACCATTTCTGCCCTGAAACACACTCATTTCACCCCTCTTAATCTTAGCTCCCTTTCTCTTCTTGTAGAGGTTAATATCAGTTGTTAACTGTTTAAGAACAGGAAGACAACTAAGGAAAGCTTAAAATTTGAAAGGTCTCTTTAGGGCTCTGTGTCAGGGTTTCGTTTTTTTGTTGTTGTTTTGTTTTTTTGGTTTGTTTGTTTTTTGTTTTTTGTTTTTTTTTGGGTTTTCTGAGACAGTGTTTCTTTGTGTAGCCCTGGCTGTCCTGGAACTCACTCTGTAGACTAGGCTGGCCTCGAACTCAGAGATCTGCCTGCCTCTGCCTCCCAAGTAATGGGATTAAAGGAGGAGTGTGCCACCACCGCCCAGACTCTGTGTCAGTTTTATATACAAAGGAAGTCATACTTTGCTGCCTGACAACTCTTAAGAGACCACTCCTTATAGCACACCATGTAAGAGCAGAAGTAAAAGGAAGAATGATTAAAGAACAGTGTAACAAGACCATTGGAAACCAGCTGTGATACTGTGATAATTGTGGCATTCAAATGAGAAGTAAACAACGACAGTCCCGTTGAGAAATAAATGGTTGTAGTTTTGAAGTAGTTGGAGGTAGAAAATTATAGTCTTACTAATTAATTACCTGCTAGGATTGGCCTTTTGTGTTCTATATGTGGGACATAATGACCCACCCTCTTTAATCTCAGACAACTTTATCCTATGGTTCTTTTGGTTGTCTAATATATAGCATTGTAATTCTTGTCAGTTTCTATCTTGCTTTAACCTTCTATTTTAATCTAGTAGCTATGATGCAAAAGTTCTATACAGTCTGGAAGGAGGAAGTAAAAATATTTTTCCTTCTGTATTTTGATGTGTTTAGTTGTTGAGCTATGTTAACAAGTGGCCAGTGTATATACATACGCTTTCAAGATTTAAATCTGCAGATTTTAAGATGCTAATTAATTTTATTTTGTTTGTAAGAATCCAAACTGTAAATATATGCTGGTGCATGCTGGTAATTATTTATTTTTTCTCTCTTTCATAGTTGTGCCTTCAACTTCTCTCCAAAGAAGTGGGGATAAGAGAAGTTCAACTGTAGCTCTCTCTGCTCCTGTGGGCTTTGCAGCAGTTGTCAATGGAGAGTCCAGTAGTCTTATCTCGTCTGTTCCTTGTCCTGTTGCCCCTCCAGTTTCTCAGAATGAGGGTGAAAATGAAAGTCATCTAAATCCAGCTGAAAAACTACAGTAAAACACTTTTTGCAATCATTCTTCACATCTATTAAATAATTAGATAATGAAGATAATACTTTAAACTGTTGAAAATTCGTAAGAAACTAAAGTTTAATAAGATAAACATTTTTAAGATATATGGTGGAAGGAGGAGGAGGTGTAATATTAGTGAATCTTTATCAGTTGGCTAAAAGAAATATGGCATCACTCAGGTACTTTCTGTAAACTGCTGTTAATTGTTTTTCAGAGAAAGGATTACAAATAGCAAGAACTATAGCTAAAATATTTTAATATTCAAACAAGCCCCATGGTCTAGAGTAATACCCCTAAAACTATATTATATAAGATTCTGTCAGTGTAAACAAAACACTTAGGAAGCCTTTGCTTCTGCACCTGAAAAACAGGGGAGGATGTATATGACATTCAGTTCATGCTGTTGGAGTTTTGTTTTGCTTTTTGTTTTTGTTTGTGTGTTTTGAGACAGTGCCTCACTTTATAGCCAGTCTTGGCTGGTTTGGAACTCACTGTGTAGACAAGACTGGCCTTCAACTCACAGAAATATGCCTGCCTCTGCCTCCTAAGTTTTAGGATTAAAGACATGTGACAACATGTTCAGCTGAAACTTTTTTTTTTTTTTTTTTGAGACAGGGTTTCTCTGTATAGCCCTGGTTGTCCTGGAACTCAATCTGTAGACCAGGTTAGCCTCGAACTCAGAAATCCACTGACCTCTGAAACTATTTTTTCAAATTGACAGATGCCCTGAGAACTTGGTCTAAATATGTATGTGTGGGTGTGCCAACTGCTTTTAAGTGTAAATAAGGTTTTTTCTTTTATTTAAAATGGTGTTGGTGTTAATGTTACTTTTTTTTTTAATCAGGAAGTTAAATGAAGTTCAAAAGAGACTGAACGAACTGAGAGAATTAGTTCATTACTATGAACAAACATCAGATATGATGACAGATGCTGTAAATGAAAATACAAAAGATGAAGAAACTGAAGAGTCAGAATATGATTCTGAACATGAAAATTCTGAACCTGTTACTAACATTAGGTGACAACAAGTTTCTTCTTTCCAATGTATTCATCTAAACGTATACATGTATGTGGAGTTGGGGCAGGGAGATACTTCAGTGAAGTGTTCATTATTAGCTTCGTATTCTAGCTTTTACCGTGGAAGTTACCTGTTAGTGTAATAATCATTCTTGTCCTATGAAGAAAAAGAAGGAAGTACCGAAGGCAATAATTTAGGAAAATTGCTGTTTGTTAGCGAATGTAAGTAAGTTTAGGAAGTATCAAATTTAGCATTTTCTTTCCCTATTTCTATACTTTAGGTATATTTTGAGTTTTCAGATGCTTTTATTTATAAACGTCTAAGTTTACGGAAAAGCAAATAAAAAAACAGGAGTCTGTTATTAAGAATTTCAGCTTAGTCGGGCAGTGGTGGCTCACGCCTTTAATCCCAGCACTTGGGAGACAGAGGCAGGCAGATTTCTGACTTCAAGGCCAGCCTGGTCTACAGAGTTAGTTCCAGGACAGCCAGGGATACACAGAGAAACCCTGTCTGGAAAAAACAAAAAAAAAAAAAGAGAATTTCAGCTTAAATGATTTAGTTAATGCTATTCTTATTTGCAAATACATTATTATAGGTCTAAAGTACATTTTTAATTTTTATTTATTTTTTGTTGTTGTTTCAAATATCTTGACTTTAATTTCTTTTAGAAATCCACAGGTAGCTTCCACCTGGAATGAAGTGAATACTAACAGTAATACACAGTGTGGTTCTAATAATAGAGACGGGAGATCAGTTAATTCTAACTGTGAAATTAATAACAGATCTGCTGCCAACATCAGAGCTTTAAACATGCCTCCATTAGGTATGATCTCCTATATTCACAGGACATTTTTCATGTTGCTGTTGTGAAGTAGATATCTTTGATTTATACTCTTAATGTCTTAAAATCACGTTCTTGAATGATTCTTGTTTTCAACAGACTGTCGGTACAACAGAGAAGGAGAACAGAGGTTGCATGTCGGACGTGCTGAAGATGAGGAAGAGGAAGTAGAAGAGGAAGGAGTCAGTGGGGCTTCATTATCTAGTCGTAGGAGTAGTCTGGTTGATGAAGCACCAGAAGATGAAGAATTTGAACAGAAGATTAGTAGACTCATGGCTGCAAAAGAGAAACTTAAACAGCTCCAAGATCTTGTTGCTATGGTGCAGGTCAGTTTGTTGAAATAGTACAGTCATGTAAGATGAACATTCTGTGTGTGGTTGATAATTATGTGGTATAACTTCTTTTCTTTTTATTTTCTTACATTGAACCTTCTTATATTGAAGGACCTGCACATATACTAACCAAGCATGGTACCACTGAGTGACATTCCCCAGCCCACCATTTGAATCCTAGGTGTTCCCATTAAAGGGTTAGTAGTTTACATGCTATTGTAAGGGGCCCCCAAGGGGAGTTGTGCGCACCCAAGGAAACACGGAGACCGGCTTGATGCAAAATAGCAAAAGGTAGTTTACTGACAAGGGCCCTTGGGTCGAAAACACATCCCATGCAAGGGAAGGATTTCGACGACTAGCTCTGACAGTTTAAAGTTTATATAGGGAATGGCGCAGGGGGAAGGGGGAGAGCGGGAAACTTTGGTGCGGTTACATTTGATTGGATATTTTAAACATCAGCAATAGGTGTAAGTTATCATTTTGGCAGGCATAGCAAGCTTTTCCTGGTGGTCATGATGACTTGTATTTTTTTGTATTTTTGGCCATGAAACCTCAGACCTTCTGATAGGAGAATAAAAACACCAGATGGGCCGGGCAGTGGTGGTGCATGCCTTTAATCCCAGCACTTGGGA